GTACAAAATATATCACTTTACTAAAAATAACCAAGAAAATGACAATATTTTGATAGCAACTGATTTCCAGAAATAGTACCGTTCAGTACGGGATATAGCCAAGAAAAAAAAATGGCTGCCTCCATGTTGAGACAGTACTTGCAGTTTCCTGCAATGTTTTTGGTTATTTTGAACAACAATTGGTGGTTTATCCTGCATAAAATGAAGAAAAATAATATTTTAAACTATGTGATTATTAAATCTGATCCAGTTTAAAGGAAAATAGAATTTTTTGGGGGAAAAAACTTGGCTATTTACCGAGGGGAAGACGCCGACTATCGGTGTCAATTTGTTAGTAAAAAAAACCCCTGTATAGAATTTCTTTACTCATTTGCAAATTTTGTGAATGGGTATCTTTTCATGAGCTTCACATTACACATGTAGTACAGATACGGTACATATAGTACAGTCAAACATGAATTGTTAATTTTTGTTTGTAGTGAGATACATAATTATTTCATGGTGCTGAATATTATAGAATAGGGGAGTCTGTGGCAGAGTGGTTTAAGTCTTTGACTTCGAACATTTTTCCCCATGACTGCTGTGGGATTGAATCTTTTGAAATTGTGGTACTTTGGATTCTTTCATGGGAGCAAGCTATTATGCAAGTTTAAAGCCTGTCAGTGGTCCTACTTCTGTGTTTACTCATGTATAAAATAAGACTGTTACAAAACAGATCTTAACCATCCTCTTTTTCTAGAACTGGAAGTTACTGTTACTGTTAATTGTTGGTAGTGAAAAGTAAAATACATAGAAAATATTCAAGTTTGATCTATAAATACAGGATTTATTTTTAGCTCGACTTTTCTATGAAAAGGGGAGCTATCCTACTCGCCCCGGCGTCGGCGTTAGCGTTAGCGTCGGCGTTGGCGTCACACCTTGGTTAAGTTTTTCGTACCACCCCACTTTATTTCAGAAGTATTACAAGTATGGCTTTGAAACTTACCATACTTGTTCACCATCATAACCTCCATCTACAGACAAGAGTACATAACTCTGTCAAGGTTTTTTGACAGAATTATGGCCCTTTTTTTGACTTAGAAAGTGTATTGAGCTTGGTTAAGTTTTTTGTACCACCTCACTTTATTTCAAAACCATTGGAGGTATTGCTTTGAAACTGACCATACTTGTTTACCATCACGACCTTCATCAACAGACAAGAGGACATAACTCTGTCAAGGTTTTTGACAGAATTATGCCCCTTTTTGACTTAGAAAATACATTGAATATGGGTAAAATCCACTTATTGCCTTAACCCTTTGAGATATTGCTTTGAAACTTTTAATGCTATTTTCACATCATTACCCCCATCTGTACGCAAGAGAAGGTAACTCTGTCAAGGATTTGTTTTAAAAATTAAGGCCTTTTATCGACTTAGAATCTTGGTTAAGTTTTTAGTACCAGTCCACTTTTTGACTGAACTGTTTGAGATATTAATTTGAAAGTTGGAATACTTGTTTACCATCATGGTCCCAAAACATGGGCAGGAGAAGGTAATTCTGTTAAGGATTTTATTTGAATTATGGCCCTTTTTGACTTAGAAACTCAGTTAAGATTTTCATTCTTGTCCACTTGTTGACTTAACCATTTGAGATATTACTTTGGAAGTTGGAGTTCTTATGTGCCATCATGAGACCTATCTGTAAGCAAGAGAAGATAACTCTGTGAAAATGTTTCTTGATTTGTACTTAGAAATTCCTAGTTAAAGTCTTGTGTGCCCTTAACTGTCAAAGTTTTGTTTTATAGGCAAGCACTAAAAAAGTCGAGCGCGCTGTCCTTCTGACAGCTCTTGTTATCAAGTGTTATGAAAATAAATATTTCTTGAGTGTCGGTAGACGCAAGTGAAATATGACAATTTTCAAACCATAAAATGAAAATGATTCCTTTATTTATAATTATAAAAAAACTTGAAATTTCTGTGTATAATATTGTTTTTTTTTTGCCCTACAGTTCATTAGACTTTCCCTTTACCTTTGTGTATTGGCTGAATTAAGAAGGCACTGGTAAAAAATTATGCAAAATTTGCAGTGAAAAATAAGTATTTACAGTACAGTGAAAACATGGAAAATAAAAATGTACATTTTATTTCATCCATTCAATATTTCATTGATAAGTACATTTATATAATAAAAAATATTGTATTAATTAGGAAATTTTTTTTTCAGGTGTGTGATGAAAGTCTAACAAGTGTGTTAAATTCTAATTGTGACACAGTAACTGTTGAGTGTTTGCAAACTGTATACAGGCCATTTTTTTGCACAGGTAATTATTTGAAAGTTTTTCCTGACATTGGTATATATTTTTTATTTAGCTAGTGGGAAAAATTCACTTTTTTAAAACACAGTTTTTACACAAATTTGGGTGATATAATATAATGGCATCTCATTTGGATAAAAGAAAACCATGCCTATTCCCTATTTTATCACTAGATATCCCAAAATAAATATTGGCTACCCTAGTGTACAATTTTAGACTATTTCTTATTACAACTTGACGTTCAATTTAGTCAAACAAAATTTCTATTTTGCATTCATCCTGACCCCAGTTTAAATATGCTTATAAGAGCCCAGCATACACACTCCTTTGTAGAATTTATTATTTATGGCTTCTGTACAGATAGGAAGAAGCTGTTTCATAATGTTACACTTGTACTGAGTGCCATTAATTTTGTTCATTATATGTGCTTTTTGTTTGTTGTTTTAAGATCATTTCATTTTTTCCAAAGTTTGTAATGAATTGATCTTTAATATGTCAAAATGAAAGTGTAAGGGATTTACCTAATATCTACCTAAACAGTCATGCAATATTTAAATTTAGTTAAAAAAAGACCATTTAATAAACCCTCAGTATATATACTAGAAAAGAATAAGTTGTTCATGTATTGTGAGTCTTATTTGACAATAAGTTGTTCATGTATTGTGAGTCTTATTTGACAGTGAGATAGTTTTAATTATGTTTAACATTTAACACATTTATTTCAGGTGTGTGATTACAGACTTGTATGTGAGATTTTGATTGTTACTTGGTCATTGGTCAAGAGTTCTTGAAGTCTGTGTACTGCCCCTTTGCTTAGGTAAGTCATTGGACATATCTCTTGATTTTCAGATAAGGAACATTCAATATTTTTTCACAACAATAACAAACTAAGGACTACAATGTATTTTAGAAGACCAGATGTTGATGTGTATTAATTACTTGTAGAATAATGTAATTTATGAAACATATTTTTTTTCAGGTGTGTGATTACAGACCTGTGTTCGAGGTCATGGTTATTACAGTCTATAGCCTTAAAACAGTATACTGCCCCTTTGCATAAGTGAATGAGCTACAAGTGAAACAAATGGTATATATTATTTAATATTTTAAAATTTTGTATTTAATTGTATGATAGTGTGTGTATTTTAAATTACAAGCAATTTTTTGATCATGCTCTACTTATTTAGTGATTGACATAACATATAATTCTGAATATTTTTATCTTGGAACTGAACACATATACCTAATCTTGGAATTGAACATTAATATCATTGAGTAGTATATATTTATTATCTTGGAATAAGAGTGATATATCTTGGAGTTGAACATACATATTTTATAGTTGGTAAGATAATGTATATATTAAATGTTTATAATATGTTAGTTTTTATCATATATATGTTATGACTATAGTATATAAATCTTGAAACTTATATTAAGTTAAATAATATAAACATACTTATAAAGCATAGGCTGATAAGCATTTATATAACTAATAGTTGAACAAACATAACTTGGAATTGAACATATATATCTTGGAACACAAAATATATATCTTGGAATTGAACATATCTGTCTTGGAATTGAACAAAAAAATCTTGGAATTGAACATATCTTGGAGTTGAACATATGAATCTTGGAATTGAACATATCTTGGAGTAGAATATATGAATCTTGGAATTGAACATATCTTGGAGTTGAACATCTGAATCTTTGAATTAAACATATCTTGGAGTTGAACATATGAATCTTTGAATTGAACATATCTTGGAGTTGAACATATGAATCTTTAAATTGAACATATCTTGGAGTTGAACATTCGAATCTTGGAGTTGAACATATGAATCTTGGAGATGAACATATCTTGGAGTTGAACATATGAATCTTTTAATTGAACATATCTTGGAGTTGAACATATCTTGGAGTTGAATATCTATATGTCATGGAATTGAGCATATTGGAACTGATATTTTTTATCTTGAAACTGAACACATATATATAATCTTGGAATTGAAAATTTGTATCATTGAGTAGTATATATTTATTATCTTGGAATATAAGTGATATGTCTTAGTTGAACATACATGTACATATTGTATAGTTGGTGATATAATGTTGTGAATATAGCATATCAATCTTAAAACTGAATATTAAGCTAAATAATATCTTGGATTGAACATATATTTAGAAAGCAAGTATAATACTACAAGCTAATTTGCGAATTGAATGTTTCCCTGATAGGATTTATTATTTTTAGCTTTATTGTGTATTTTACAGTGTATCTGTGAATTTATATTTTGACCATGGCATTTTTAAATAAAAATTTTTAGAATCAAATAGACGTTCTTAGTAGCAAAAAGCAATAGAATTTTTTAAAAATGTCACTTAATTTTACATCATATTTTGGTATGGCTTTTGTGTTGGTATTGGTATTGTTTTGTATTCCTTTGTATCATGATGGAAATCAATTGTTATTCCTAGGCAAATCAACAAGTGATAGATGTGAATGCAGTCACATTAATATATTGTCAGACAATAAAAACTTGAGTGAAATAGGATTGCGCTTTGATAAAGTAATGTTCATCTCTATACCCTTTGACTCTGTTGCCCTGGACAGTGTAATGTTCTCAAAAAACTTTGAGATACAAGTCTATTACCAGCTTTTTTTTCATTTAAAGCATACAAGACGTGTGAAATCAAGACCTATGTCTGTCCGCAACATTACAAGAATTTTTCTTTTGTTACTTGCTGGAGATGTGGCCACAAACCCTGGCCCTGAGACTAATGGTGCAGTATTGAATGAATCTTGCAAAGTCTTTCTGCTACATACTTCTGCAGATTTCCATCAAGCTTCTGAAAACCTGCCAATGGAGGCTAGAGGTAGACAGTGTGTTCCTACTTGCCTTATGTTTCTGATTGCAGTCAATTATGTTAAACCATGTTTGTTGTTCCAAGGAGAGGATCTTAATGATGTCATGTTTGCTGGAAGTTTTCTTTATTGTGCTATGTCTGAAAAACAACATGACCTGGTTGGATTAATGGATCCCACAACATTCCCTGAACGCATTGCATACAAAGGGCACACAGTATACTTCACACATAAAAGAACGATTACAGGGTTGATGGACAAAGTCATTCCAGTTGAAAGTTCATCGGTTTGTATTAAACTTGAAGATGCTTTTCTTCAAGTGTATTCCGCACAAGCTTTAAATCTCATTATCATTTTTAATGAAATGTCACTTGCTATTTATAAAGATAAGTTTAAGAATCAGTTTTATGTATTTGATAGTCACTCGCGAAATAAGGAAGGATTAATGTGTGGAGATGGTCATTGTGTTCTTGGTATTGTTAACTCCATTTCTGACTTATGCTGTTTTCTCCGTCAGCTTCTAGATTCTTGTAAAAAAGATGCTGCCTGTATTCAGTTTGACTTGCATGTGTTATCTTTAAGAAAGAAATTCATACTTTTATTACCTACAGCTTTCTGTGTGAAAATTCTTGACAATAGAAAAGGTTTTGAAATCCAAAGGATCAGGAAACGGAAAAATATCTCAAATGACTGTCAAGAAAAGCAAAATAAAAAACAAATGGCTACAGGGTTAATGAAAGGGAAGTCTCCTAGAAATGCATTTGATGATAGAAATGTTTTTGAATATACAATGCTAAGCCATGATAGTCATAATTTTGCAGCTAGCATGGTTGGTGATCTTTTATCATCATTTGATGCACTAATTTCATATGGTCCAGATTATGTTTGTACTTGCTGTACTCAAACATTTTTTCGCCATTTTATGCGAAAGATTGAACAAATCCCAGATTTAAAAAAAACCTTGATAGCAAAATTCTGTACCCAGTACAGAAGTTTTGACAACTTTGAATGGATATGTAAAACTTGCTTGGAATGCGCAAGTAAAGGCAAGACTCCAAAGTTATGGATACACAATGGTTTAAAATTTCCTACAAAACCAAAGGAACTGGACCTCTCCAACCTTGAAGAAAGGCTTGTTTCACCAAGAATACCTTTTATGCAGTTGAGACAAATGCCAAGAGGTGGGCAAGTTAGTATGAAAGGAAATATTGTTAATGTGCCAGCAGATGTAAGTGGTACTATAAAGTCATTGCCAAGGATGATTGATGAAAATGAAACCATTATGCTTAAATTAAAAAGGAAATTATCGTACAAACATCATGTGGCATTTGAAAATATTAGGCCAAATAAAGTATACCAAGCAGCAAAATGGCTGGTTTCAAATAGCGAACTATTTAAAAATGAGGGTATATTTGTAAATGAGACTTGGCTGCAGCAACAACATGGTTTCAGTGATACAGAAAATGAAGACTCTGTTTTGCAAGATGAACTTGGTGATCAGTGCAAGTCAGATGATGATTGGACTGAGGATGACAGCTTTGTTGACAGGCCAACTGGTAATTTAGACACTTTCTTACAAAATGCAGATTTTAGGGAATTCAATCAAGTACTATCAGTTGCACCAGGTGAAAACAACTCTCCAATTGGGCTTTTCCAAGATTATCATTCAGAGATCTTCTCCTTTCCAACAATATTTTGTGGCCAGGCTAGAGTAGGTAATCATCAAAGGCATGTATCATTGCATTACAGTGACATTTGTAAATGGGAGCTCAGAAATGTAGATAGGCGTGTTGCACTTTGTGTCCCAAACATCTTTTTCAAACTTAAGAGACTTCAAATCAAACAAGTAAGAGACAAAGTCTTACTTGCTGTAAGAAAATGTAAAACAAATAACCAAAGATTCACAGCTGCTGATATTTTGACTCCTGGTTTTGTTGAAAAGCTAACTATGCAGGATGATGGTTACAGGGTCCTTCGAACATTGCGTGGATCTCCACCTTATTGGGAAGCAGCAAAACGAGATGTTTTTGCTATGATACGACAACTAGGCATACCTACTTGGTTTTGTTCCTTCTCTGCAGCAGAAACTAAATGGAAACCATTGTTGAACTCTCTATCAAAACTTATACACGGTCGAGGTTTGTCATCATCTGAGATAGATGATCTTTCTTGGCAGGAGAAATGTAATCTCATAAAGTCAGATCCAGTAACATGCGCAAGGTATTTCCAACATAGAGTTCAAGTTTTTATTAAGCATGTTCTTAAACATCCCTGTCAACCTATTGGGGAAGTGCTTGATTATTTTTATCGAGTTGAATTCCAACAACGTGGCTCACCTCATATTCACATGATATGTTGGATTAAAGGAGCTCCAGTGCATGGATTATCATCTGATATTGAAGTGTCAGCTTTTGTAAACAAATATGTTACCTGTTTAAAGGATGATTCTATCCCTGAATATGTTAATTACCAGACACACCGTCATGCTCCAACTTGTAGAAAACAGGGCAAGGCCATTTGTCGCTTTGATTTCCCCATACCTCCAATGCCTGAAACACATGTGTTACATCCCCTTGTTGATCAAAACAACTCTCTTTACACCGAGATGTATGAACGTGTTATCCAGTTCTTAAATAATCTTCACAAGGATGATAAGACTGATATTACATTTAATGATTTCTTGGCAGAACTAGAAATAGATTATGAAACATACCTTCTTGCTGTTCGATCTTCGCTATCACGACCAAAGGTATTCTTAAAGCGCTCAGTACAAGAATGCCGTATAAACAACTATAACAGTGTTTTGCTGAACTCTTGGAAAGCAAACATGGACATCAGGGTTCCCACGCTGTCCGGGAAAACGGGAAATGTCCGTGAATTTTAAAACACTAGCTCCCGGCCTTGAAAAGTCCGGGAATTAGTGTTGATACAGAAAAAAGTCCGGGAAGGTACGGGAATTAGTCTGGAAAAGGGGAGGTAAATCAAACAACCAAAATGGCGGTCTTAGCACAGTATATTGATTTCCGCATCTTGAATGTTGATGATTTTTCGATTTACAAGTGTTTTAAGAGGCCAATTTTGACATTTATGAGATTTAACATTTATTTTCTGGTTACTATTGCGGTTTTGTTTGGAAAATCTTATAAGACAGTCACAAATCGACCCCAAGTTTGCTTGATTGGCCTGTGCTCAAAGCACATGAAAAAGATGAAAGCTCACAGGTATGGTTGTTTCCTTGGGCAATGTTTTTTATCCTAATTGCTCACAACCATGCTAAAAGCCAAAGGTATATCAATATAAAATTAACAATAGTATTACATACAGGGCGTCCATTAATGGAAGTTTGGGAGTCATTTACTCCCTGATTTTGGTTTGTGACTTCTTTAAGTTCTACTTTTCCTTCTTTACCTATATAATGTGACTTCCAATATCAGAGATTTTGCAGTGTCTGACTTCCAAATTTTGGAACTTAGTGGATGCCCTGATTACATACATGAACTATTGTAAAGGCAGAGCACAGCCAATTGGCCACACGGGTAGCACGAAATACCTAAGTATAGCCAATATATACTAAAAATAATGTGTTGTACTAATAAAAATTGGTGTTTTAATCATGAATACAATATACAATTTCACTAAGATGTAATCAAACATACCCAAATATACATTTTTGAACACCGCCCCCCTCCCGTAGCACTGACTTAAGCAGAATACAACATTTAAACATGAAAGTTGTGAAATTTTGAATGTCGAATCACCTGCAGGCAGTTTTCATAATTTTACCCTTCAGTGTGACATGCTTTTGCCATTCTTTGAAGCCTTTAAGTGGACTGAGGTCAAATGTGTGGTAACTTATTTAATAAGTACTATGAATATCTGGTCAAAAAGTGATCCCTTGAAACATTAAAAACAGCAAAATTACATGAAAATGGCACACAACCTGCAAAAACAGTTTCTGTCACAAAGTACATTTCATTATTTATAGACACTGAATGTATTTCTTAGATAGAGTTAGATTTATGTCATGAACTATATGTATTTTATTGGTGTTGCTAAACATTACCATGAACATATTCAAAGGACAAAAAAAATCAAATAGCTTGAAATTTTATCTTCTAAAAAGTCCTTAAAAAATCAAAAAAGGTCCTTGATAAGTCCTGGAAAAGTCCTTAAATTTTCAAAATATCTAAGAGTGGGAACCCTGGGACATACAGTACATATTAGACCCATATTCTTGTGTTTCTTACATAGTTTCCTATATTTCTAAGGGCCAGCGTGGACTTTCAAATCTTCTTCAAGCTGCTTGCGTTGAAGCAAGTGAAATGGATAGTGACATTAGGCAAAAAGTAAGAAGAATTGGAAATCAATTTCTGTCAAGTGTTGAGATAGGTGCACAAGAAGCTGTTTTCCTGGCTTTGCAAATGCCTCTTAGGAAAAGCACAAGGGATGTTATTTATGTTGATACAAACAGACCAGAGAAAAGGACATCACTTTTAAAGCCATTGTCAGAGTTAAAAGAGCTTCCATCATCATCAAAAAATATTGAAATGGATAATGTCCTTAAAAGGTATAAAAGGAGACCAAAAAGTATAGAGAAACTTTGTTATGTTGATTTTGCCTCGTGGTATGAATTGTGCAAAAGGCCAGCAAAGAAACATATTGACTTGAGCAATGAAAATGAATTACCTGAAAATGAATACATTCTTGATGAAGATGATAATGTAGAGGAGGAAGACATTACCAATGAAAGCCAGTGCAATATTATAGAATTTACTTGTGGAACTCAAATAAGGAAAAGAAAACAACAGAAAGTCATTTATAGTCATTCAACACCAATTAATCATGACCGCCAGGAACATTTTAGAGAGAAAATCATGCTGTATACACACTGGCGAGATGAAGATGTTGACTTGCTTGGAGGTTTTGAGTCTTTTGAAGCCTGCTATAATGCAAAGATTGCTGAAATAACTGAAAACAGACAGAATTTTGAAAAAATTGATGATAGCTTCTATGACAAAATTTTAGATGATATTGACTCTGATAACCTGATCACAACAATTAACCCAGAAGCAAATCACCAGGATTTGATAGATGCAGATGAAGGTCCATCTAGATCTGCTGAACTGGGATGTTTTGATCCAGGATGCGAAATAGGTTCAGCAGGTGACTATGATCTCGGAGAGGACTTGGGAATAAGCAGAACAAGGGTTAATTGTGAAGCCCTCCCGCAGAAAGAATTGGATAATGACCAGTTTTTAAAATGCATTCAAAATTTAAATTTTGAGCAAAAGACATTCTTTAATCATATTGTTCATAGGGTGAAAACCAATTCTCTACCATTTCATACATTTCTTTCTGGTGGAGCAGGTTGTGGTAAAACTGTTGTTATTAAATCTATTTATCAAGCCTTGTTCAAGTATTTCAGTCATCAACAAGGAAAAGATCCATCAAACTTGAAATTGTTGTTGTGTGCTCCTACTGGAAAAGCAGCCCATAATATTGGTGGGAATACAATACACTCAGCTTTTTGTATTCCTGCAAATCAGGGTTTTCATTTCAAGCCTTTAGATATGCAGCAGCTGAACACAATGCGAGCTCGTTTTCATGAATTAAAAGTTGTTATAATTGATGAAATATCAATGGTTGGTCGAGGGATGTTTAATTTTATTAACTTAAGGTTGCAAGAAATTAAAGGTTGTACACGGCCATTTGGAGATGTAAGTATTCTAGCAGTTGGAGATTTGTATCAGTTAAAACCAGTTCATGATTCTTGGATATTCTCTCAAAAGTATTCACGGCCAGACTTAACATGTTTGGGGACAAATCTGTGGATAGATTTATTTGATTTTTTTGAATTGACAAAGATTATGAGACAAAAAGATGATCTTGAATTTGCCAATCTTCTGAATAGATTACGTGAAGGTAAACATACAGAGGAAGACCTCACAATACTAACTAACAGGAAAATAGAAAACTTGTCAGTAAATTCTAATGATGTTCTACATTTTCCACATCTTTTCTGTACAAGGGCTGATGTTAATGAACATAATTTGAATATTCTTTCAAATATACCCACAACAAATAAAATAAACATTGAGGCAATTGACTCTGTATCTGGTAATATTAGTCAGTCTTTGGCTGATTCAATTTTATCAAGGATACCACTTGACCCTAGTAAAACAATGAGCTTACAGAAAAATCTTGTTCTTGCTGTAGGACTTCCAGTTGAGTTATGCTTAAATGTAGATACAAATGATGGTTTAACAAATGGAGCATCATGTACTGTAAGAAGCTTTGACTTTAGAGTAGAAAATTCTTCGAGATGCAGTATTATTTGGGTAGAATTTGACAGTGCTGATATTGGAAAACAATGGCGTTTGAAATACAAACATTTGTATAACAACTTGATATTGCCATGCTGGACACCCATTCTTGAAACTTGTAGAAAGTTTACATATCAGTATCACAAATCATACTTGATTGTGCGCCGGCAATTTCCATTGTACTTGTCATCAGCGAAAACAATCCATAAGGCTCAAGGATCAACCATTCAGGGGGCAGTGATGCATTTTGGGAAAAGAAAGATTGACCATATTCATTATGTTGGTCTAAGTAGAGTCACACAATTATCTGGTGTTCACATTATGGAACTAAATCCAAACAAGATAAGTGTTTCTTTTGATGTTAAAGCTGAAATGGAAAGACTTAGAAGTTCAATGAAATTACAAAGCAGTTTACCCAATTTGTCTCAGTTTGATGCAACAGTTAATAAAATATGCTTCCAAAACTGTAGGTCCTTGAGAAAGCACATTCATGATATCAAGTTTGAACATAACTTTCTTGTTTCAGATGTTCTTGGTTTTGTAGAAACTAGATTAACTGGTCCTTTACCTGAGCAGTACAGCATAGATGGTTTTCGTGTATTGTCTTCCAATTTTGGTCAGGCCTCACATGGGATAGCAATTTATTACAAGGAAAATATTAATGTCTGTCATTTCACTTGCCTTACTCATTCTGACATTGAATGTGCTTTACTGTGTTTACAAGACATAGTTATTGGATTTGTTTATTGTCCTCCAGGGTATGCTACTGTTGCAAATTTTTCAGGGTTTCTATTCAACATTTTGGAAATTATTTCAAAAGAGTTTAAAGTGACTGGAATTTTAAAAAAGCTTATTTTAATGGGAGATTTCAATTATGATTATACTGAACACAAACCAGTTGCTAAACTTATACAGGAAGTACTCAGTTCAGTTCAACTCATTGATTCAGTAACTACTGATTATGGCAGCTGTCTTGATCATATTTATTGTGGCGTGCCTATGAATAAAGTGCAAAAATTTGGTACACTGGAATCTTATTATTCTGACCATAAACCTTTATACATTTTATATAATACTTGAATGCAAGTCTTTAACTTAAATTATTTCACATTAAGTGGAGTGATGAATATTGAGTTCAAAATTAGTTACAATTTCCAGAAATTGTGTAGATAACATTTGCTCTATAGTAAATATGAGTTAACTGTAATGGTCAGTCTTTTCTACATTAGTCCTTTGGATGACTCTCCAAAATATTTTTTTCGCTCGCCTCTTCTCATCTCATTAAAGTGCTTATTAGTCATAATTTCTCAAGATAACATTTTACAGTTATTTTAGAATAGAAAAATTAAAGCCTTTATTATCTATTTTCAGTGGTACCAAAAAGATGGTAAATTGGTATTAAGTGTTCAGTTCCAGGCATCCATTTCTTTCATGTAAAACCATACATCATAAATATTAGAAAGCTAGAAAGGAAATGTACATTGTATATATATAACATAGATTTGACTAAAAAAATCTTTGTACTTTTACAATTTTGACCAAATAGTTTCTCAAAGTATTTTTTTGACATGAACTAACAGAATTATTGGCATATGCACCCAACTTTTCTATTTCAGGAGGTACATGTCAGATTGGTGAATGTGAAATTAAGAGGACCATTTTTGAGAATGCTTTTGTGAATGGAATCAACAGAGAAAAACTAAAGTCTAAAATTTGATACCATCAATGTGACTAACCTTAAAGTAAACAGATGACACAATGTTTCTTTCAATGTCATGGGCATTTAATGAAGAGGTACATTATTATTTGTATACACTTTTTCTTAATAAACACTTTCTAAGTGTTTGGCATGTTTAAAGACCAACACAGGACTCAAGGCATATTTAAAATCAGTAAGCATGTCACAAAGAGCCAAATGTATATTAATTATTTCAATATCATTTCATGAAGCAATGTGTTACTATAACTTGGGAAAAAAAGTTGGTAGCAAAAATATCTGTGATTCACTTACATTTTATTTAGAAATTCAAGTTCCCTTTCTTGTCACCTCAAGGCATTTAACATTGAAATATTGAATATCTAATCATCTCATCTTGAGTTCAATGTTTATAGATTTTTATCACTCACATAAAATTTATAAATGTAAAAGACTTTGAAAAGTTGTATTACAAATAATTTATAAATTTACTTTGGGTGTCCATGGTCAAATAAAATCATGGATCCTACACACCTAACTTTAAAGATATACTATGCTCATCATTGAATAAAATATTTTAATCATGAAAATTTATTAAAATCTATGCAGTTCTTTCTGAATATGTCTAATTTTAAAATAATAACTTTTGAAATAATGAATAAACTATGCATTGGAAATCGTGTTCCTTCTTAGGGGACAAGTTAAGTTGGTCCTTTCGTAAAAAAACTGTCTCTTTTTTAACAACACTACATATTAATATTGTGTCCACATATAGTATGTAGTGTTTTAAGCATAACATAGCTACTTTATGTAAACACAAAACATGTTTATTATATATTTACAAAGAGACTGTGAAGCTATTATTAATATTTTCTTATATCATATTTGAGCATAGTATAAATGGATTCTTTAATGTGAGAAAGCAATCCAGCTAGCTTACAAATTGTGGTGGTTCTACTCAAGATGCTCGTTTGTGAAATACTGCACAGATGGGCATTAGACATTTTTCAGTTATTTAGCTTTATAAATCATAGTAATTCTTAAAGAGATTGACTTACAAGTATGGAATATCTCAGTCAGCAATACAGTTTTTCAAATCTATATTTCAGAAAACAGAAATGCTTGTTTGACAGAAACCTCAATAGTGGAAGTTATGAAGGAAGATAGAAGTGATCTTGTTGTAAAATATTCTCCATAACAAGGTTCAGGATCATGCCAAAAAATCTGATGTCTGTGGCAAAGGTCATAGTCATACTTAGATGTCAAAAGTCAAACAACAAATTATAACATTTGTTTGCATGTATTACGTCTATATACACGAATTAATTTCAATATAACTCAACACAAATGTTCTCCATGTTGAGTTGAATTTTCTAGGGCAAAATGAAAGATACAAAAAGTCAAAGGTCAAGTAACATTAAAATTTGTTGATTGCATATGCTATTAAGTATTATGCTTAGTGATCAGGGGAATTTTAAATTGTTGAGCTAGCTTGTAGTAAAGTCAACATAGTCGCCACTTTTCAGTTTGGAGGTTTGGTGTACATGCGCCATCTAGATTTGTCCGATAGTATACTCAGCTCATTCTTTGAAGAATTACAAAATAGTTTGATACAAATGTTCACTATGATGTGTTGGTGTGTCAGACTGGGGGGAGAGGGGGGGGGGGGGAGATCTGTGTAAAACTTAAGTCCGGAGCGTTACTTTTACATGTGGGCAGGATTTTAATGTAATTTGAGACAAATATTCTCCATAGTGAGGTGGAGTGTCATTGTCTGTGAAAATATCAAAATTTTGTTTTCCGCAATGTGTTTTGCTTATTGTTGAAGTATTATGCTTAGTGGTCATGATTTTTGTCAAGCCTGCTCACCAGGTCAGAGGTCAAGGTCAACTAAAATGATATCGTGTCAAGATTTTGCCATGGGCATAAAGAGGATGTGTTGGGCATATCCCACCTATGTATATGAAGCTGATAAATTCAGGTTTGAATTAAAACGAGTAGAATTCATACCGGGATGAACAGACCTGATATAACTTTAATCTATCACTGATCTTTCCCATCATGTTCATGTTACTGTAATTTTCTTTAATTGTCATAACTTTGTTCTTTATTATTTGATTCATTCTTGAAAAAAAAATTAAATAGAATACTTAAGAGAAATATGTTCTCTAGATTGTTCTTTACAACAATATTCTCCTGTTGATTTGCTTACTTCAGAAATACGAAAAAGTTTAGCATTGGCCACCTCAGCAATGGCCCTTGCTTTAAATGCCACCTATTTTATTATAACATGCCTGTATACTTATTCCAGTTAACATTTTCACGTGTATTATGCTTGAAATGTTTCTATAAAAATAAGTTTATTTATTCACATTATTTACTGATATTTGTATGATCATTTCTTGGAATAAATACAGTTAAAGTACACTGACTTTTGTTATACACCACTATCCAATGTCATATAGAAATGAATACATGACTCGGTTGGTTTTAAAGCTTAACAAGAGTTTCAGGGAGTTATATTTCACAATATATACAAGCAAGAGATGTTGGTAGGACAGCAAGCGCGCTTGACAGTAAAAGAGCCTTGGTAATGAAAAATATTCTAAATTCACAAAAGGGCCAAAAAAATTCAAATCCATGTTACAGGTATAAGCCTTAGAGAGAGGTCCTTGTATGCTCGCAAAGAAGTGTATAAAATTTCAACCTATTTCAAAGCCAGATGTCAATGGAATACAACTGCCTCCATGGTCGAGGGGTTAGAGTTGATGACTTCTAATCCAGTTTCCTCTCTGGCGTGGGGTCGATCTTCAGGAGATGCTTTGGTAGTTTAGCGCGGAGGAAGATACTCTAGTACTGGTGTAATTCTCCAGGAACGATGATTAGGAAACTACCCGTCTATATGACTGAAATACTGTTGGGGGGGAAAAGGCGTAAAATGAAACAAACAAAGTCAATGGAATATGAAAATATTTGAGGTGGTAGCAAATTACATAAATTCCAGGTTGGAAAAGGAGCATTTTTTTGTGTAAAATATTTGATAGAGTAACTGCAAAGTTTCAATGCCATATGCCAATAGACTTTGAAAATATTTGAAGTGGTACAAAATCTTTAACATAAGTGGTTACGCTGTCGCTCGGGTGATTAGGATAGCTCTATTAATTGTTATCGAATAGTCAAGTAAAAATGTGACTTCTGCTGGCATCAGCTTGTAACAATAGACTGCTCTACAATCAAGAACTGTATCATAAATTTTGCGCCCCCATCAGTGCTTTCAGCGCTTTGATTGTTCAAAATACCGGTTGAAAAAGTGTTCGCGGTATAAGAATATTGAGGATGCGCACGCATGACGCATATATAGAGACTAGCAACAGGTTTACAAATAAACTGTTCATCGAGATATGATCAGGAAGACAAAAAATATCTACAAAATTTTATTTAAAATTAAAACATATATGAATTATCTTATAATATCTTCTCTGCATGGCTAGCCACACAGAACAATATCTATGTATGTTTGTTAAACCCTGTTGATTCTGCAAATAAATACCGAACTTTTCTGTACTTGTGAAGGA